AAAATGGGGCTGTCAGAGTGGCCTGCCTAGCAAGCTTGAGGTCCTGAATTCAAAACCCAGTACCAACAACAAAAAATCTAAGAAAAATGAATAAAGGGGTACCAGTGAGTTCACAGAAGAGGAAATACATATAATTAGATGCTTAGCCACACATAATAAAGAAAACACAAGCTAAAACTAAAACTGGTACCTACATTTTCATTAAACTGGTAAAGATCCAAAAATTTGCCCTCTCACCCCCAGCCCTTCCTCCTCAGCCATCCAGGAGACTTGGCACACAAAGGTAATGATGATGACATCTCCCTGCAAGTGTGCGTGCACATAGACCACCAGAGAGATCACCTCCCTGCCTCCAGATTAGCAAAAAAGTAAGATTCACATGCCAGCCACCTCTCCTGCCACAGAACACAGACCCTATCTAACCCTATCCAACCCTGGTGCAGCCCTCGGCTTCTAGAAAATGTGCCTTACCACATTTTCTTAAGGCCATGGTGATCATTGGATTATATATGGATGAGAATGGATGGAATATATATGTTTGGAATATATATGTCCTCCAAGGGGAGGACAACGTGGTAATACAAAATTTCAAATCCAAATGCCCTTTGAACAGACAATTCATTACACCAGTATACTCGACACAGTGCAAAATGACACATTCCAATCTGAGTCAAAAAACTGAAAATAGTTGGGTGTAGTGGTATATGCCTGTAATCCCAGAGAGCAGAGGCAAGAGTTCAAGGGCATCCTGGGTTACATAGTAAGACCCTATCTCAAAAGTAAACAAATGACCAAAAGAATAAAAATAGCAAAACACCTAATTCATTTGGTAAGGACTGGCAACATAATTACAGAACCATGCAACAAAGCTGAATGCTGCTGCATTAAAGAGGGAGGAAGGAATAATCTCAAAAATATACTAAGTTTTCAAAGCAAGGTACACAAAGTATTCATATAGTATGCTACCTTTTGTGCATAAAAGAGAGGATGTGAGACTGTATTCTGCCTCTACGTTCACAAAAAATGCTAAAAAAAATGACAGTAGTTACAATTCAGTCACTGCAGTGAGTGTTGCAAGAAACTGATGGATGGCGAATGAGTAGTTGGAGGTATCACATTGTTGAAAACTTATTATTTATTCAGTGACTCATTTTTAAATCATGTGAATGTATTTCCTATTCAAAAACCAATTTTAAAAATGCAAATAAGAATTAAATTACAACTTCCTTAAATACTGGGATGAAAAGGTACATAGTGCTCATAGAACAAAAACTCTGAGCTTTCCCCTTGAGGAAGTTGAATTTGAACTTGGATCCCAAGGCTCAGGAGTGAGTGAGGATGGTGGGAAGATCATCCCAGGCCTATGGAGTGGTGGGACTGTCAGGCAGGTGCTGTTTGTGAAGCCCTGTGACCAGAGGAAGTAGCCCATTAAGGGGACCAGGCACTTGCTATGTCGTGTGACCAAGAATCTGCAAGCCCAGATAGGCTAACTCAGCCTCTTCCACAGTCAGCCTCACTCTGGTGGAAGCATAAGCCAGCACTTCCTCCTCAGCCATCCAGGAGACTTGGCACACAAAGGTAATGATGATGACATCTTCCTGCATGTGTGCGTGCACACAGACTATCACAGACATCGCCTCCCTGCCTCCAGATTAGCAAAAAAGTAAGATTCACATGCCAGCCACCTCTCCTGCCACAGAACACAGACCCTATCTAACCCTATCCAACCCCGGTGCAGCTCTCCTTGGCTTCTAGAAACCCAAATACTGTTAGATTCTTAATCAGAAGAGGAGAACAGGAAGACAGGGTGGGGAGCTGCTTCTCTTTCCATCACGTGGTCACCAGGCACATGGTAAGTAGCAGCTTTTCCTGCTGGTTAGCAGAATGACAGAAATGGAACTGAAGGTGTGATATGTGGAGGCAGCTCCAACTAGCCCTTGCTTCCATGATTCTTTCTGTCCCTGCTGCCTGACCCACCTCTAGCCTTGGGATTACTCCCAAAACCCCACGGTCATACCCTGAACCTACCCTTCCTGAGCCTATTCTTCATGGTTTTCACTACAACTCTCCCTGTGGGTTTCTGTCAAGGATTCCTATTCCAGAGTTCCACCTTCTATGGAGGACTGGCTGCCAGGCCTAAGCCTTCACCTGGATCCTGGACTCTTCTCCTGGATCCTCAGATAATTAAGAAAACCAGCAGGCTGAGGATAGCGCTCAGTGGTAGAATACTTGCTTAGCAGGCAAGGTGCTGGGCTCCATCCCCAGAATAAGAAGGGAAGGAAGGAAGAGAGGGAGGAATGGAGGGAGGGGAAGTCTTAGAAGCCAAGGAAATTAGTAAAACATGGATGATCCCCCAAATGGCTGCTCTATACCCGCCACAACCAGGACTCTCTTCTCCTTTAGACTTTTATGTACAGGTAGACATGGGCCTCTCAGCCACTCCTGGGATGAGGAAATGGAATGAGTTGGACTTGAATCTCTTTAAAGCTAGAAGGACACTGAACCCACTTAGCAGACTCCAAGACAATACTACAACCACCTGAACTGGCTCTCGACTTCACCTTGATGGTGGCAGTACCAGCTCACCTCAGAGCCTGGCCCTTTCCCAAAGAGTGGTCTCAGCTCTTTGGGTGAGAGCAGTAGGAAGGTGGGTGAGAGTAGTAGCTGCTAAAACTCCTGGGATACTCTGAGGATCCCAGGGAAAAAATCCAAAATCCATTTGGATGGAGAAAGCTCTTTGAGGCCTGGAAGCTTTTAGGGAAAACTGAAAATGTGGAGGTGAGTTGTACAGAAGAAAAAGTGTGTTTAGGGAAAGTTCACGGTACAAGATGGCTCTTTCCCAGGCTCCTACACTGAGAAACCAAAAAAGGATGACTTCTTCACCCTCAATAGGAGCTTACCAGTCTCTCCAGCACAGGCCAAGGAACAGAAAGCCAGGGTCCAAATGGGCTGCTTTGCTCTGATAAGGCCAGAAAGTTCCTGGACCCTCCATATGCATTGTCTGCCTGGCCAGAGGCTGTTCTCTCTTCAAATAGCTGAAGATAGGACAGCTATAGTCCTAGGTCTAGAAAGACAGGTAGAGGGACCAGGAAGCAGGAGCAGATCCAAGGGACCTCTCTTCCTCCCAGCTCCTGAGACAATCTCCTCCCTGTGCCCTACAACACAGAGGGTGTGATAGCCAATAAACTGCATGTGCTGGGTGAGGGGATGAAAGAGATGCTCTACGTCCTACTCCTCCATGGAGAAAGCAGAGTTAAAATGCCAAGCAGAGGTGAACCCCAGGAAGACAGGGCGGGCACAGCAGGGTGCCCCAGCCTCACACACCCATCAAGTAACCCCACTGGTTCAGTCTTAAGGCCATATACAGGGCTATCACAAACCCCTTACAGAACCAGGTAGAGTCACTAAAGGTATAAGGCAGGCTGGGAAAGCCTCCTGCCGGACTGTGAAGGCCAGATCTTTCCTTCAAAAGGCCCAGCTTTTCAACCCTATCGAACCCTGTTCCCTCCTGCTTTCCATAGGGACTGGGGAGGTAGAAGAGTCCTCAGAGGCATCCTTACAGCTGGAACCATGATAGCCAGCTGGTGTACCCCAAATCCAATCCAGAGCTTTGAATCCTAGATACTTCTGGCCACCCAAAGAGGCAGCTCCTGCTAAACTCTGGACTCACTCTGTGGTCTGTCTGATGGGATCTACATGTGTCATGGGCAGAGTACCTGTGTCAAGCTCCCCACTGAGACCACAGAGGCCCCCCCCCCCAACCTTGTGAGACTGGTGCTACAGCCCAGAAGTCAAGTAGGGGCAAAGACTTGGCCAGGGTAGTACCTAGGAGGCTCCTGTTCTCTCAGCCAAAAGCCTTGGTACTGTGGGTAGTTGGGTCTTGACTTCCTGTTGGGATCTGCCCACGCTTTGTGGGAAACCCCGTAAAAAATACATGAAAAACAGATAAGTCAACAGTTAATTAGGCTAACTAAGCATTCTCCTAGTTGCTAATTTTTACATCATCAGTGACAGAGAAGAGAACTGAAGAGACTCTGAGAGACTGAAACTAGGAGCTGCTTACCAATAATCAGAAATGGAGCATTGCTGGCATTTTCCATGAGCAACTATTGTTCACAGAATCCTGATTTGCACACAGTTCCTCAGAAGCTAAACTGAGGTACAAGAGAGACACACCTGCCCCTTCCCACTATCCACACCCTGAATGATAAGTGTGCAGCACATCCGATGCCTCCAGCAGCCTCTATCATCCTGTACCCCAAAGTGCCCCTACTCCATGCTTCCAGAGGAACCATGGGAGTTCAGAGAGGGCCAGGCCTGAGCCCTGGCAGATGATACCAGCAGCCAGGTTTCTGTTCGTCACACACTCGAGCTAAAAATTTCCACATAAAATGCTCCTTGTTGTAGGCCTGCCAGGGCCAGATGGGGAAAGAATGAGCTTGTGCAGGCTAGATGGGCAGCAGCAGCCCTGGGGCTCCAGAATCCTAGGCAAGGGGTGGACCCAGGAGCCAGAACATGGCTTTCTCTTCCAGAGGACAGGAAGATGGTATGCACCAAAGAGGGGCTTCAAAATCCACCCTCATGTCTTATGTTATGCTCCAGCAAGAACAGATTTTAGAAACTGAAGCTGAGAGATTTGACCCACCACCACCATCATTGTCGTCGTTGTCATAGTTGTCATTTATTTAGAGGCTCCTATCTGCAAGGTGCTTCCTGCATATTCTCTCACTTAAGCCTCATTACCACAAAAGGTATACATATGGTCATCTCATTCTCTACACAAGGAAACTAAGGCGCAAAAGGACTGAGATATTTGCCCAGTGTCACCAGCCAGTAAGCAGGAGGCAGTGTGGACAGCTGTTTGCAGGATCAGAGGCCTGCAATTGCCAAGGCCTTGGGCTGCACCCAAGAGTGGATGTTCCCCATCCCTGTCCCCACCTATCCTCCCCCACCACTGCCCCAGGACTCGTCTCCCAAGGCCAGGTGGTTCGTGTTCTTACATGGCCAAAGGGGTCCAGGTGGTTGTTTGTCAGCTTCAGCTTCTGGAAAGAGACCAACTGCCGCATCCAGTGGGCCCCAGTGGCAGGAGAATCTGGGTGGACATAAAGCCTTCCTGGCATGGCTGGCTCAGCCTTTCCTGCCACCATCCTGCCAACAGAACAAACAGCAACAACAGTTGAGTATTCTAGGGCCCCTGTCCCCTCTGAGAGCAAACCCCTATGCCCAGAGGAAAAGAAGCTGCTGCTCCCATCACACTGTAATGCAGAACTTGGAGGAAGAAGAGAGGGCAGGGAAAGGAGCTGGGGAGGAGGCAGAGCCGCCTCTTTCACTGCAGCAGGATGAGAGAGATGATGGGAAGTGTGAGCGTTTATGTAAAGGACTGAAACTAATCACAAAACTACTGCAGGGATGTGTAGGCAGTTCTGTGCATGTGGTACATTTATTTTTATTCAATTATTTTTTGGCAATGCTGGGGATCAAACCCAGGACCTCACACATATTTGGCACTGAGCTACATCCCAGCCCATAGATTAATAATTTTTAAATGTTATCAATTGTATTAGTTGGAGGGAGCCTCTCAAAGTACCTAAACAACTTTCCAATTGCTTACCTCCCAAAAATGGTTTGAAAGTAATTGATTGCTGGCCCCTAAGCCACAACATGCTCTGAGTTCTGATCTACCCAGACACGGAAGAAATAAAAACATGGCCGGCATATGGTCACCAAATCCTGCCTCCTCAGCCCCATCTCTGCTGGCTCTGCTTACTCTCACCATGGAAGCCAGGGCCCCAGGCAGCTGCTCTCATGCAGGTGCTATTCTAAGCTCTGAGGGCAAGCAGGGTCCTAAGGAGCTGGCCTCATGAGAGGCAGCCCAGGCCTGGCTACCCTTAGGTAGTTCAGCCCAGCCAAACTACCTTCAGGTTAGTTTGGCTGCTTAACTCACCTATCTCTCCCAGACCCTTGCCAAAAGGTCCTATCACCTGACCCCAGGTGGCAGCCTCACTCAGTCTGAAGGTGGGCATACAGCCTGTGAATGACATACTCTGCCAGACAGACAAAATGAGTAGAGAAACAGAGAAAGCCACCACAGGCCAGTTAACGATCCTAACCATTGAAGTCCCCCAAGAAAATGATCCTTGCCTTCCTCCCCAGTGAAGCACTAACAGATCCTCAGATGTTTACCCTGCCACCTGACAGCACAATCTCCAAGTCCTGATTGTCCATGGTTGTGTACCCTTGAAATCCAGCAAACGCCAAACACTGCAGCTGTTTTCAGCCCTGGCCCCTCCTGCAGCAGGTGTGCAGACAATGGCTGACCCTCCTCAGCCCCTGTAGTCTCAGGTGCAGGCAGTGGACCTGTGGCTGAGGATTGGGGCATTCACTTAGACTGGCTGGGGGACCCAGATCAAACATTGGGTGGTAGAGGGGTGATGGGTGGGAAGGCAGGTCCCAAGCCACTTACCATTTGTTGTCACAGAACTTGTAACGATGGTCATCTGCAGGGACGATGTCAATCAGCAGGATATACTTGGTCTTGGGGTTCATGCCTGTGACTTTTACCTTGTAGCTGGGGAACATCCTCCTGACAGAGCCAAGGGTGGGGTGGGGTGTGGACAGAGCATCAGGAGAAATGGCATAGAGTGAGCGAGGGAGCAGACAATGTCATTTTAGCAAGAGGTGCTGTGGCTTGTAGGGGTTACTTCTCTCTCTGTTTGTCCTTGCTGCCTGGAGAGGGCTGACGAAATTGCTTTCTCTGAGCCCCCACAGCTGTCAGTCCATCCAGAAAGAACAGTTTACACTTTGTTCCAAATTCCAAACTCCTCTTTCCCCTGAATTCCTCTAAGATAGGGACCCAGTGGCTGTGACCCACTAAAGCATAGAGACCCTGGTCAGGATTGCAGGAGAGGATTTTAACACCAACCTGGCTGTCTTAATTCCTCTCCTGTCCTCTGTCACCCCTTACATAGCTAAGGTTCAGGAGCACCCTCAAAGAGTGTCAAAGCAGGTGACCTGGAAGCCCCTGTCAACTGTTAGTGATGAGATGCCTCCTATGGGTCATGACTAATGGAAACTCTTGGGCCTTAAACCAGTTCTCAGGAAACCAAGAAAGTGCTGCCTGCTAGTTTGGGTTCTTCCAGTTGGCTCAGAAGAGGTGTTTCTCACTGCAAATGCCTCACCTGGATTGAGCACCCTAACTGGGAATCCAGAAAGTCAGTCCAGGATCCCTATGGACAAAAGCATGGATTCTGAAACCACCCGGCTGAGACCTACAACCTGACCCACTGCAAGCTGAGTCCTTAGGCAACTGGCTTGGGTCTTTCTATGCCTTGATTTCTCTAGCTGTAAAAAAGGGGATAACATCACTCCCCATCCTCATACATACACTGCTCTGTGACTGAATGAGTGGATTTTATGATCATCGCCACCAGCCCCTGCTGTGTTCTGCCCTCCTTAAGCCAGTAGCATGACCTACTTTCATGAAAATGAATCCACCAAAAAAACAAGTTTCCCAATTCCTGCACCCCATGCTTAGGCTGTCTGGACCCCAAGCCTCAAGGAACATTCTAGGGAGAAGTTTCTCCACACACTTCACATACAAACGCACATTCAGCAGCTATTTAAGGGACACAGCTCCCTTCCCAGGTCACCAAGTCCCTGACACTGGATACTGGTTGACCAGGGGGGACGGGCCAGACAGAACTTCCTCACATTCCCTCTCAGATGCCTCCTGCCCCCTCCCCACTGATCCTCAGGATCCTAACTTAACTGAAGCTACTAGGGAGCCACTAGGGAGATGGGAACCAGCCCCCGGAACTGTGATACTGCTCAGTCCACTCCAGGAGAACTATCAGCTGGTCTTCTGCCTGTCACTAAACCAAGACAGTACAGAGAAGCTGCCTTAGACACTAACTCAGATTGGAGTACCCAGTTTTGTGGACAGGAATACCAGCTTACCTGGATATGGGAAGGGCTTCCAGAAAGGATCAAGGCCTCCACTATGTGACAGACCCTACAGCAAACCCCACCAAGATCCTTAGGGGGAGGATTTGAAGGGTTCCACCCCAGGCCCAGTCCAAACCAGCCCATACTGCCTCTCCTGCTAAAAGAAAGGCGGGCGAGCGCCTTGCAGTGGGAAAGTGGGGCTGTGCGGGCCTGTGCGCCCAGGCGCATGTGCACGAGCACGTGGTGCCAGTGCGCATGTGTGCATGTGTGCGTGCCTGGAAGGGGCGGGGGGTGGGGGGGAGTTCTAGCTGCAAGTCTAGGGACTTATAAACTGTGTGGAAGAATTTGTCTCAGATGTCAATTGAAAGCATTTTCAAATATCCACCCACCCCTTCCAAGGATGGGGGAAGTGAGAGGGCTCAGGAACCCAATCCTGCCTTCTCCTGCACACCAGCCCCCTGCCCGGCTGGAGCCTGCACCACCCTCCTTCCTGGCTCTGCCTTCTTTCTGGTGGGCCTTAAGCTAAAAGGGGAGGGCAGCAGCTGCCTACCCTCCTCCTCCCTGGGGGAAGGCCAAGAATCCTGTCCCCTCCAGGCCACCATTTTGTAACCACTACAGAAACAGCCACAAAATGGGGCAGCCTGGCCGTGCTTCTGCTGACCTGGCACCCATGGCCTGCACCTTATCCTCTAGTCAGGTTTCTTTAGTCAGTCACTTCCAGTGGCAACAGCAGAGGGCGGCCAAGCTTCCTCCCAGGACCGGTGTCTACAAAGGGGGTCCCTGAGGAAATGGGTTGCTGCCTTTTGGCCCATCTGCATAACAAGTGGAGAGGAGGGCTGAGCCACCCTGTCCTATCCTGTTCCCTCCCTATTACATTCTATCTCAGAGGCGAGGAAGGCCATTCAGACAATGAGTGCTTCTTAGAAGCAAAGTAAAAGTCCTCACTAAGGAGCCTTGTGCTCACAGCCCCTACCGGAAGCTGACCATTTGGACCGGTGTTAGAGAACTGGCGTAGGGAATGATACCGTCTCCTAGCCTCTGCCTCCTCTGCCCACCAAGTCCTCTTCCTAGGGCAGCAGCCCTTCAAAGCAGGGAGGGCAGGGCTCTCTGGTCTGGATAGAGAGTTAAAAAGTCCTCCGCTGCAGGTTGAACCAGCTGGGGCTTAGGAAGCTCCCCTGCCTTCATGGCTTCAATGGTCTCTGCAACACCCTCGGGGTAGGGGGGTATTGAGCACTATTAAGTCCTGGCTTAAGTGGCTGCAGGATGAAGGACCATCCAGAGTGGAGAAAAAGCCTCATGTGAATGTGAGGTACACTCCAGCCCACCCCTTGGATCCCAACGTTGGAGGGCCAACGTTGGAGCCCAAAGGCCTGGCTTGGGGGTGTTCATCAGGTCAGCATGAGGCCAAGCTGGGTTTGGGAGCTGCGACTTCCTCTGGGCCCCACTGGCAAATAAAGGTCCTCACTAATGAAACATGAATCGATGGAGATGAGGTTATTTCTGTGATTTAGGGTATAAGATGTATCTGCAGACCAACACGCTAGCGGGGGCGGGAGGACAGGGAGGGCGGGAAGGGGGGGAGAACGCCCCAGTGAGCTGGGGAGGGAGGAGCAAGAAGGGAGGCACTGACTGCGCGGTGTCCCCGCAGGCTGTCACTAGCTGGGCCGGCAGCTGGCGGTGAAGCCCCAGAGGTCTCTCCCTGAGCCCCCACGCTCCCTGCTCCCCTCAACCACCTTGCCCTGTCCTTTCCCAGCGTCCCTCCACGCCCTCCGCGCGTGTCCCTCGCGCTTTCTTGCAGCGCCACGCGCCCTGGGCGCGCTGTCCCAGTTTCTCGCGCCCCCTCGGGCTCAGTACCTCCAAACAGATGGGACCCCCCGCCCCAGCACACCACAACAGCACACGCGGAAACGGCTCAGCCAGGGGAATAAACAAGCTGGCCGCCCCGCCGCCCGCCGCCCGCCGGCGAGGAGATGAAAGCCCGGGTTTCCCCTCTGATCATGAGACCCGCTCTGAACGCGCGCAGAGCTGGAGCCCTTATCTGTTTCATACTCGGAAGTGGCTTTAGAATGAACTGCTAAGATAAGCTTCCTCCACGGCTTTTGGTGTCCGAGGCTTGCAGGCCGAGCAAGGGTTTAGGGCATTTTGATTTTGGCAACAAATCTGTAAATGCGAACGCACTGCTGAGAGGGGACACGCAAGTGATTGCTGAGCACGCAAAATCCGGGGTCAAAGTGGTGGTCAAATTCAAGGCGCTGACCTTCTTGCCTCTCATAGCAGACATGGGGTCCCCGACAGCAGCCTCAACCCCACCGCAACCTCGACTTCCCTGAGGAAGCAGCCACATGTGCCTCCCCTTAAGCGCGGGGCAAAACCAAATCGAAAGGGTGAGAAGTCTGGAGAGTCACCAGGGTGGTGACTGAGAGGACACGTGGGGTGGACGATGGGGAGGATGCTGGGGGATTAGTAACATCTCTACCTTTATGTGGACAGTGATTACACCGTGTGTTCATTTTGTGAAACTCTATAACGCTGTAAACTTCGTATTTGTGCCCTCTTCTGCAGACATATTCCACATCAATGAAATCTATATCAAAATTATATTAACTTACAAAACACATATGCACATACGTGCCTTAGAGCCCAGAGTGTGAAGGGAAACAAAATGAGCTGCAGGGGTCCATTGGAAACTGCACCCATCTTTCTATCCCTAATGTCCAGGAGTCTTTGAAAAGAATCCTAGATAGGTTGGGAAGAGGCCAGGGTCCAACAATCAAAGCTGAGGTCAGAGTAGTGGTGCAGGTTCTGCCTAGAGTGAGTTCAAACCCTCTGTAGCCAAATGATTTCTGAAGGTACCAGCCAAGCTATTCACTTGATTACCACCTGATACACACATACAGAGGGGGGGGTGAGAGAGAGAGAGAGAGAGAGAGAGAGAGAGAGAGAGAGAGAGAGAGAGAGAGAACGCTTGCTTTCTAATTCACCCAAAGCATGTTAAGAAATATTTTCCCTAAGGGGAGGGGAAAGGAGAGGGTGTGTGGAATAGATGCTGTTTGGGAAGATCAGACTCTTCCCTCAGATTTTTTTTAAAAGGCACTTCCTTCTGATAGACTTTTGCTTTCAGAAAATACTTTAAGAAAAGATCAAAGCGCTCTCTCCCCAACTCACTTTCCCAGTGTCTTCAACCCTTACTTCTCTTATCATCCACGCCACTGGGCTCTGACGCTCTGTATACAGAGCGAGGGCAATTGGCTTTGAAGCCCCGGATTAAGCCGGGCCAAATCCTTGACTCAGAATAACAAACAATACAGGTTCAACAGGAGTTCTCATCAGTAGTTCATTTTTCAAACGCAAATTCACTGTCACTAACACAAGCAACATTGAACTCAACAGGCTATGAAGGCTGATAGTGGAGATTTATCTGGTGGCAAAACCATGACCTAGGAGTAGGGCAGTCAGACAGTTAGGAAATTTTCATTTTGGGGAGGTTTATATTTAAATTTTTGTGGAGTTCTCTTTTATCTGTGTTTGGGAGAAAATACAATTTCTCACAAGTACCAAGCTTAGCAGGGATGTGAAGAGGCCAAGAGAGAGATCTGCTCTTTGCAGTTACCAGCTTGAGTCCTCTGGGTGCAGGGGCCTGAGAGGGACAGAGACTGTCTGGGGAGGGTTTGGCCCTCATTTAATGCTCAGAGATTCCTGAGCATTCAGAAATTGGTGTGTTACCCTGTGGTTAGCATTTTATTCACCAGATAAAACTGACAATTCAAAGACATTATCCAATGAGGGGGACTCTTCTCTCCTTTGGCCTTCAGATTTTCAAGGACCCAATGGGCTAAGGCAGGAGGCTTGTGACCCAAGAACTCAAAGTAGCTTGAGAATATTCTGGATCCTCTTCTCCGGGGGGGCCCCCTACTCCCCTAACCAGACAGCAGCTTTCATGATCCTAACCAGCCAGGATCTCTAAGGCCCTGTAAAAAAGCAATCAAGGGGATTTCTCCATGTTAGGGTCTTGATCTGGGGGTGGGTGGGGTGCATTGGCTGCTTGGCTTGTATAGACCTGGCAATTGCCTAACTTTCCTTCTCTGGGGTTTAGTTTATGTTCTTTCTGTTCTCTTCCAGCTCTCACAGTCTATGATCCAAGGTTTAGGAGAAAAGTCCAGGCCGTCTGCTGAGAAATGAAAGCAGGCCAGGAAAGGTTCTGGTAGAGACAGGGAGTTTAGGGGAACAGGGAGAGGCACCAGACAGAGTCACCGGAAGAGCCACAGCCCATGCAAAGCAAGCTGTGTCCAGGATTCCCATGCACAATGAGAGCAAGGAGAGTGGCCTCTGAAGATGGTGAGGACTGTGAGTGCAGCTCAGTGGTAGAGCAGCATGCTTAGCTTAAGTAAGGCGTGCAGAGCTGGATCCCCAGCACCACAGAAAACAAGGAAGGAAGGAAGGAAGGAAGGAACTGAGAAAGAGAGGGAGGGAGGGAGAGAAGGTGGGAGAGAGGGAGGAAGGGAGGGGACAGCCTTACAGGAGGAAATAGGCTGTGTGAGAACCATGGGGGATGAGGCTGGTGACTTTCTGAAGGACTAGACCTGGTGCAAGGATCACTTTCTGCCAAAGAAATGAAAGGCTGTGATGAATCCATAATTGGCCATCATCCCAGCCACTTTCAAACTATTATCGTCATTTCCTGAGGCCCACCTGTAAGACTCCACTAGGACCAGGCACAAACATCTACCTGAAGCTGGTCACTTCTGGAGTGTGTATGTGTATGTGTGTTGGAGGTGGGGAGAGGACCCACAGAGGTGCAGGAAACCCACCAAGGAGAACCACAAATGCCTTTTGTTTAAAATGGCAAAGGCTAGGCATGCCCAGAGAACATGCTAGCCATTTATTTTCAAGAGACAGGTATTTCTACTGTCTAAAAATGGAAATTATAGATTGCTCTTTCTTCTTTCCTTCCTTCCACCCCAGTAGGCACAAGAAATAAATTCCCCTCTTCACACCTGTAATTCACCTGACAATTCACCCAGCACCATTCACAAAAATCCCCTAGTTTGAGTCTCATGATAACTGAAAATGGAAGGATAGCAGGTATATCTACAGTTCCCATTTACCTGCCACCACGGAGCTACTGCAGGTTAGTGACTTGCCCAAATGCAGCCAGCTTCCTAGCTTGTGACACCTGGCCCTCTCTGTCCTCAGTGATTATTGCATATGGCACCCTCTGCCAGGTCCACTAATGCATCCTCTTTCCCCAGCCCCCAAATGCAAAATCTGGTGCCCTGAAAAACCCTTCCTTCCTCCCTGACAGAGGCCCTTGCCATCTCCCTGACTAAGACACAAGGGTATCCAGACCTCCACCCTTAACAAAATAAAGGAAATTTTACAAGGCCTGCCAGTGAACAGAGACAGGAAAAACCATAGCACCCCAACACAGCACACAGCAGACATAATGCACCATGCTAAGTGCATTATGCTATGAAGCAGGCCTTTTTTTTTTTTTTTTACAGATGGAGTGGGAAGGTGGCAGGACTCTTAAGTCCCTGATCTGAGAGTTGCACAGTTGGAAACAGCTGAGTTGGAACTGGAACACTCCTCCTACCCTATGCTCTCACTCCACATCCCTGGCTCTTGATGGCTCACCATCTTATTTCTCCAAAACCCCAATTATGGGCCCACAGCCAGAAAAAGGGACATTTTCTCACCTAACCTGCCCCCAGGAACCAAGATCAAGTGTGTTTTTAGGGGGTAGAATGGGTGAGGAGAGGGCTCCTGAACCTGAAATGTCCAGTGTGCACAGCAATCTTCCTTCACCTGACAGCTGCTCTTCTGCCCCACCCCAGACACCCGCCTGCACGAATCTCTGTCATCTCCCCTGTCCAGCGGTCTTCGTCTTCCTCCTCTCACCCTCTCCTCCCTGTTCTCTCCCACAGACACCAGCACATTTTAAAGATGTTTCCACTTTATAAATCATCCCTCTCTGGCAGGCACACTAGAGCTGCTCCACGAACAACACACAGGGAGCCCAATGGTGCCTTCCCATTGGCAGAGGAGGGGGCTGCCTCTGGGATGAGACCTGAGGTTGGTGCCGCTTGGGAAAGTTACCTACATTGAAAAACAATCGCGTCTATCATCTTCTGAGGGCATTTCTGGGTCCCCAATCTGACCAATCCTGAGAAACCCTGCAGGTTCTCAAAATGATGGTTGTGTGTGTGTGGGTGGGGTAGTAATCAAAGCAGCCCTGCTGGGGCTAAAATTTTAGCTCAGAGTCCTTGGGTGGGTCAGGATCACCCTTGTCCCCGAGGGGGGTAACCCTCTGCGGCCTCAGCGGCAGACTCTCCTACAGCCCCTTCCTCCGCCCCTCCCCAGGAACCACTAAGAGAGATGACCCTCAGTGCTCCCACCTGCCACCCTCCTCTGCCACCCTCTCCCAGCGCTGACCTGCCCGCCTTGGTGATGATCATCTCGGTGCCCGCCTCGTGGAACTTCTTCCAGAGCTCCTTCTCATGCAGCCCCACCTTGATGTTCTCAATGGTCTGGGGACGGGAGGAAGGGGGACTCATGTCTGCCTGGCCCACAGCTCCACGCGGAGCCTGCGGAAAGGACACCGCAGACCCACAAAAGTGTGCCAGCCTGGGAGCCCACGCCTCGAGATTTCGTTTGACAAAGTTATTTTGAACCATTAGTGAATTAAAAAAGAAAAAGAGTCTCAAACTCCCTTCTTCAGGGCTGCAGAAACACCATGCCACGGTAGACGACACACTCTTATACAAACGTAAGCGCTTCACGTGGCTGGCCGTAGTCACAAGCTTGCGGCAGAGACACACACATGCCCACGGCCAGGCGCGCTACCACAGGCCACGCGCAGATTCATACACGCGGGCTTTGGGTCATGCTGATCATGTGGCTATCACCGTGGAGCCTCGCGGTGACGATTTCGCAGCCTCTCAGAGCCCCGCAGCAGCTCTGGAGGGGTGGGCTCGTCCCGCCTGCTCGCTGGCTTTCTCCCCTGACTTAACGCTGGTCCTCCGAGCTGGACACCTGGACCCTGTCGCAGGGGTCTCCCTTCCCCGCTTGCCCCACAGTGATCCCTGAGGGCTCCAAGTGGACAGGGGCTCAAAAAGCAGACTCCGAACCGTACCCAGTGGAGAGCAAAAGCAGCCTGACAGTCCCAGGAGCAGCCAGGTCCCCCTAGAACACAGTCCTGTCTGCGATCAGATGGAATGACCCGCATAGGCGGACAAACCGACGCCCGACGTCTACCCGAAGGCGCGCGCGGCCCTACCTGCTCAGCTGCTGCGGCGACGTCGGCGACAGGGCCCGGGGGGCTGCCGATCGCTGCTCCGCTGAGGCCTGGCGCTGCCAGCGCGGGCTCAGAGGCGTTGGCTGCGTTAGCGGCGTTGGTGGCGCTGACCTCGCCGAGCGCTGGGCCCGGGGCCCTGAAGGCCTCCTCGCTCTCCGACAGGCCCTTATCCTGCAGCATCTCCTGCGGGCACAGTACACTCTGAGTCACTTGTCCAGATCCGCACTCACCCGAGGCCCTGCGGCCCTGTCTAGCAGAGCCTGGGGCTTCGTGCGGGGCGCAGAAGCTGCCCAGGCGCACGTGGACCCCGCCCCCTTTGGAGCTGGGGGAGGGAACATGCGGGGAGGGCAGGACCCTCGCCTCCTGCCTCCAGGTTCTAGACCTGGGAGGGTCTGCGTGCAGTGCAAGGTCTGCGTGCCCCTGGATGTGGGGCTGTATGATGAGTAGGTTTGGGGGAAGGACCGCCTTCTCGGCATAGCCCCAGCTGCACCCCCAGTCCCTCCCTCCTGCTGGGCTCCACTGGAGAAAGCCTGGCTCTTCATGGCCATTCCGAAATAACCAGGGTCCAGGACTCACTTTTGGCCCAGGGCAGCCAGGACTCCCTGGGCTGGCAGGAGAGCAGAGCTAGGCCTGGAAGCAAGGCCCACGCCCCCAAAGCTCTGCACCTGCAGAGAAATAACTAGGGGAGCCTCCAGGTCTTTGCTCACTCCTCCCTCACCTACCCCCTCATGTGGCATTCAGGTAGCAACTTCCTCAGCCAGGTGCTGTCACTCCTAACATACCTGGGTATGAAGGTCCTAACAGGAGACCCAGTGCCTTCACATAGCACCCTACTCCTTCGAGCAGCCACACTGTCCCTGGGCCCTTCTGATCCAGGCCCTGAAGTCTGTCAGGGTCCTCCCCAGCCTGTCTTCACGTTCATACATGCTGGCTCACTGACTCACACTTTTCTTCCAAAGGGATCTGTTTTGCGCCAAAAGACCCAGACCCTTTCCAGCTAAGGACCAGTCCAGAAGGGTGGGTCCAGTTCACAGGCACAGTCTCCTCCTGCCTCAGGGCACAGGTCTATTTCCCCGAGTTTCTGGGCCTATTCGCCCACTACCCATGTGCCTGCTCCCTGCCTGCAGCTGGTCCTAGGACACCAGGAGGCCAGTCCAGCTTGCCAGAACCAGCCTGCCCTTGCACTTCTCAGGGATGTGACCATACAATGCATCTGCTTGCCTTCCCACCACCCTGCACCGCCCCCCCCCTTTTCTTCTGAATCCGGGCAAGTTCTGGTGGGCTATATGTATGTCTAACTACCTGTGTTATGATGGAATGTCTCCCTTTCCCCTCCTACCCTCTTTGTGTCCTATATCCTGGGTATGTCCAGGCCCAGGCCCTGCTAGTCACCCTTTCACCAGTCTCCCCATCTCGGGCTTAGACTTGGGCTCCCAGAGCCTCCCAAAGTAAACAAGCCAAGTGCAACCGAGGAGATAAAAGGGGCCGGGGCCAGCCCGGGCTGGGAAAAGCCCATAAAGATAAGGGTGACAGCCCAACCGGTCCTTGACCACAACCGGAGGGGGGGAAAAAAGGTTCGCTGGACTTGGCAGGTCTCAGCCCCCGCCTTGGGCCACGTGCTGGTTCGGGATTGAGTTTTCAAAACTCAGTAGCCCCCAAACAGAAGGAAGCCCCAAACACTACGAGAGTATTTGCGCGCCCGGGCCAAGGTGATTGTTGCCACTATGTTTGGGTCCCAGCCAGGATGCGCACGGCAAACCGCCAGTCCCAGGTGCGGTGGCTCGAGGGGCCAGGAGGAAAGGGGCTGCCTGGAGCTTTGCTGACCTGGCCCCTAGGTCTTCTGCGGACATTCTGCACACGGGAGCCGTGCAGGGACGTCTTTCGGCTCGCGCCCACACTCTTAATCCTGCGGGCTGCAGAGCACATCCGCTGCCCGCATCCACTGACTCGGGCGCCGCTCGCACCGGCGTCGAGGGCTGCACTGCGCTCTCCTTCCCCTCCTCGGGATTCGATTCCTCCTTTACTCGGCCACGAAGCCACAATCTGACCTTGCGACAGCTTGCTCTCTCCGAAGCTCCCTTCCAGTTTACTTTTTTTTTTCTTGCCAGACTGTCCCCACCACCACGGTCGCCTCCCGCAGTCCCCTTGGATTGGGACGTAGAACTCCAGCAAGCTCGGATGCAGGTCCCACACTCAGTCTAGGTCCGCGGCCCGCACTTGCCGCGGGCGGCCTCGGCCACCCTCCACCAACCTCTGCGCTCGGGTTCGTTGCTTTCAGCTGCCTCATTTTCCTAGGAGGGGAGCGTTTTTCGTTTCGCCTTTAGTTTACTAGGGAGGCTTTTCTGGCACTGGAGGAATTGTTGATACTTTATACTATTTTAACATTTTAATTGTCTCTATAATCGAAGTAGTACTCTAGTCAGATCGGTAACATTAAGAGTACTTACCCGAGCACATGAACTATTAGTACTTTTATCTTTTACCACTGTATGGTTAAAGCCTAGTTCGATTCGCTCGTTTATCATTATTAAATACGTTGCTACATTTCCGTCACTGCTTTAGCATTCCAGGGTCCCGTGGCTCACTAATAATACTGTTCCCAATATCTAGGTAATTTAGATACAGTGTTCCAATAGGTCATGGTAATCGATCACATTTTTACTTTACTCTGTATCCCTAAAATGTTTCCATTTCTAGCTCTTCATTCCGTGTAGACTTTGTCACACTGTTTCAAGAGCTTGTTTTTACCATACTTGTAATATTATTGTTCTCAATGTTCACGTTGATTTTCTTAACATCCTTGTAATATTTCTTATCTTTCCATTAATTTGTTTTGTTCCGATTGTTCATAATAATCCAGGTATTATTCTTCATCACATGGTTACAATATCTTGTTACTTTGTCATTTTTGTAATGTTACAGATTTTAATTCTCTTAGTTATTTTTCATCACATCATTACTTCTTGTTTCTTTGTCATAATTTGCAATATTCCTGTAGCTCTTAATACTCTGATTCTTTTTCATCACATCGATACAATACTTCTTATTACTCAACCATTATTTATATGATGTGACTATTACTATCTTGGTCATAAATTGTCATATTACTCCAGCAATCTTCATTACTGTCTCTTTATTTATATTACTATTGCTTTTAAGATTTTGGTTAATATTTAATCATTCACTACAGGACCCACAATATATTATATGATAGCATTCTCTCATACTACCAATAGTATTTCCCTTCTTAGTATTTTTCATTATTCACCTTTTTCCTGGTTTGTTTCTTACAGTTGCCCATAGTTTAGTAATTTATTACATCATTATTATCTGTTATATACTACTGCTATGGATTTTAATACATTATATTGTTACTTGTAACTCCTTTGGAATTACTTTCTCTTTAATCCTTTTAAAGTTATGATTACTATTTTCAGTTGATTCCAAAAAAGAGTATTCTTTTATCGTTTTAAACTCCAAGTACTGTATCAGTTATGTCTGTTAGCCTTGTTTCTTGATAACTGCTCAGATTCTCAGAATTTTTTATAATCTATCATTACTTATATCTTGTGTTCATTGATTTAATTTTGACGAGTCTGTTGCTTCCAACACTCTGAAGTCCAGTGTTGTGAGCACTCACATTTCTGCATCGATTTTTTGCTGTTGGTACCCGGAACCTCTTCTTTGGCCTTTCTCATTCGGCAAACATCAATTTCAAGGCCACTGCTCTCCCATTAACGGCTTAACCTTGTTCCCATGGTGCTGGCTCTGTTGTATCTATGCTCTGGGGTCCCTGGAGTCCCTACAGTCCCGTTATTCTGAAAGGAGGGCTGGAGCCCCAGCTGCTGGGTATCCGGCCGAGGCAGCGGCTGGACCTGGGGCACCCTCGCCATCCTCCTGCAGCCTTGACTATCCCCGAGGTTCTTACCCTGGTCTCCCTTTCCAGCTCAACCTCCTGGACCCTGCAGCCTAACCCTGGACTCCTGGCAGCCCCAGACCCACGCCCGGCACACTCCCACCCCACGGGAACCGACACTCACCCTAACTGCACTGCTGCATGCGGAGGCGCCTGCGGCCCGCGGTCCACAGCAGGCTCGGGTGCGAGGAATGCGGGATGGTCTGGGCTCCGACGCGGGGCGCTGGGTCAGGGTCCTGCAGCCCGCCTCGCCCTCAGGGCCGGACACATCCCGGCTGTGGAACGGGCCCTTGATCTCCGAGGCTGCACTTTGGGGCCTCAACTCCCTCCTCCTCCTCCCTCCCTCCTCCCGGGCGGCCCCCCCCCAACCCACCACAACTGCGCTGACGTCGCTGCTGTCAATCAGCCCGCGCCCGCCGCCCCCTGGGGAGGGGGTTCTAGGGTCCTGGGGCTCCGAGGGTCCCAGAATCCCAATCCCCGATCTGGCCGCCAGCTCCTCGGCTGCGCGGCCTGGTGCCCTCCCCACGGCCCTCGGGCCGGCCGGCCGGGTAGGGGCCTGGAGCCACGCATGGTTTAGATTAGAGAGGCGGGAAGACAGGACGAGCGGCCCAGTCCCGGCGCACGGCTCCCACCCGAGGCTGGACGAGGACCGCTCACCCGGCGCCAGCAGACTGGGACGCCTACGGCTGGGCCTGGTTCCTGCTGGGCCCACTTGCAGGCAGGCAGCCGCCTCTACGGACCCCCACCCGCCCTGCGACCCGCGACCCGCGACCCGCGACCCGCGTGCGCGTAGTTGATTTGCGGTCTCATTTCCCTTGGTCGGGGACGCACACGCGCCGTTTACCAACCGTGCCCACCCCGGGGCTCACACCTGCAGGCTCCGAGTACGGGGCATGGCTCCCTGCTCCCCCGCCCCTCCTCGTCCCGGCCCAGGGACAGTGGGCACCCGAGTGGACCTGGCGCGCCGTGGAGTCGGCCGCGAGGTCACGGGTAAGGGCAGGGAGGAGGCCCGGTGGCCCGGCCTGGAGCGTCGGCGCCGGGGAGGAGCTGGGTCGGCCTTAGTCGGAGCTCAGGCCCGGATGGACCCCAAGCCTGGCTTGAAGGTGCCAGGTTTGGCACAGCCCTTTGGGGAAAAGGCAGTGGAGGGACAGGACTCCATCAGCAGGTCCCCAAGATCCTGCAGACCTGAAGAGGAAGCCCAAGACATGTCCAATCTAGGAAACGGAGGTGGTGGCGGAGTGTCCTGCTCTGAGGGTAGCCAGGC